TAACCAATATCGAGGAACCATTCAAGAAATCAATGGGTACAGGGGTGGAATCAAACGACCTTCTGGAGCTGGGCAACGGATCATTATACTTGACATCGGCAACGAAAACGGTTTTTTACCAGGATGTAGCAAATGCTTCATTGGGAAGAAAGGGTCAGCAGATTATCATGACGAAATGAATAAACAGCATTTTGAGGAATGGTTACGATATGTCTTGGGGGTGATTCCCGATAAGTCAGTTATTGTACTTGATCAAGCACCTTACCATACAATGTTGAATCCTGAATTTCGAAACCCAACAACTGCATGGAGAAAAGCAGACATAATTGAATGGTTAAATAAGCGAAAAGTTCAGGTACCAGAACACTTCGATACATTCGATCAAATGACAAGGCCTTCACTTTTGCAATTATCTCGCATGTACAATTACAAAAAACAGTATTTTCTGGAGAAAGTGGTAAACGATGTTCGACAGGATAAAGTGAAGCTTTTATGGCTTCCAGTAGCCCAATGTGAGTTCAACCCCATTGAATTGATATGGGCGTATGTCAAAAATAAAGTTGCAAAGCTAAACACAACATTCAAAATTAAAGACGTATTAGACCTCTACAAAGCAACATTGGAAGATGTGCCAAAAAGCGTTTGGACTAATTGTGTTGACCATGCCAAGAAAGTAGAAGATATGTACCGAGAAAAAGAGAATTTAATAGATGTCGCCATAGAACCTTTGGTAATAAATCTCAACGACGAGGATAGTGATGACGCAGTTATCGACTTTGATGAAGATGATCTCGAAGAACATAGCGATAATGATGATAATGAATGTATATGAGTTGACTGATTAATACAGAATAACAATTTCATGCTATATTACTTAACCGTGTACTTAGCGTGTGTGCCGCTTTATACGAAACGTTGCTGCAAGGTACAACTTTGCGATTAAATGACCTTCCCCCCAACTCCGCTCGAGGTGTTGCGTTTATCTCTTTCGCTCAAAATATATTATTTCCTGCAGCCCTTCACATTTTTTTGTCATTGATTCTATTCCGTGATCATATCATTTGTAATTGTCCTTTATCGATATGAACAAAACTGTTGAAAGTGTATCTTATAATAAGCGAATAAACGCGTCTGTCATTTTATCGCTGTAACGTTTGCGTAATTATACAGAAATGCATAAAAATGTATCGACGTATAGTTAAAGGTGTATTCTATCACATAAGTAAACATTATCCCATTTGAGTGAATACTTTTTTTGTAATTAAATCCTAAAGTTCTGAGTTCGTATACTTTCATTGAAAAAGCGCGCTTTCCCGTACATATTTCACTATCACATTTTCCCAAATTTAACAAGAAATATGACATTACGTACGGATACGTAGAAATAGTTGACGATTATATTACGCTTTATTTGATAAAAATCGGCTGGGTAGTTTTTTTTTATAACCGTTTAAAGCCAGCGGACTCTACATTTTACTCCGATAGTAAAGGGTGTGGCATTTTTAACGCACATTTTAAATTTGCCGCCATTTTTGAACTACCGAATGTAAACTCACCAAATTTGGCAACTGTCAAGTTTGATGTTTGACATTCATTCAAGTCACTGTTTGGTGTGGATTTTGGGCTGGAGGGGTCATTGGCCCGTATTTTTTTGAAAATGATGCTGGTGTTGCCGTTACCATCAATGGAAACAATTACCGTAACATGTTGACGACTTTTTTTTGGCAAAAACTTGAAGACATGGATGTGCCCAACCTATGGTTTCAACAAGATGGGGCCACATGCCACACGGCACGTGAAACCATGCAGTTATTGCGTGGAAAATTCGGAAATCGCATAATTTCTCGTTTCAGCGATGTTAACTGGCCTCCAAGATCTTGCGATCTAACCCCATTGGATTTCTTTCTTTGGGGTTTTCTTAAAAGCAAGGTTTATGTGAACAATCCTGAAACCATCGATGCATTGAAGGACGAAATTCGTCGCTGTATTGAGGAGATTGATCCAGAATTATGCGAAAATGTTATGGAAAATTTTAATAAAAGAATGCGGTCTTTCCACCAAGCCAGAGGTGGCCATTTAAATGATGTTATATTCCATACGTAATGTCATGAACACAACTTCAAATTCCAATAAAAATATTTCAATTTCGTAATTGTTTAATGTGTTTAATTTCGAATTTAAAATGTGCGTTAAAAATGCCACACCCTTTAGATATGAGCGAAAAACAGATTTAGTGATTTTTCTTTTAAATGTTGTAGAATCGTTATTGTTAGAAATATTTAAAAAACTGACACGAATGAAAGTTTTAGACATTTTAATGCTTTAACATGACGAACATACTAATTTCCTTCTAAATTTTACAATATTTGAGTAATAATACAAACTTGTATTTTTTTAAATGGGAGCCGTAGTTTGCTTTGACCTTTGTAAAAAGGAACAATTTTATAACTAATTAAGAGGACAAAATGTTTCCCATGGCCAACTCTGTTTTTACTACTCTCAATAATACAAACAGTTCTGTATCATGTTTATTTATCAGAATAAGTACAACGAACCTTATATTAATATAAACAGAAAAAAAATGCACTTTTTAAAAATCTCAAACAACTATGGTTGCTATTTAAAAAAATGTAAGTTTGCGTTATAACTCGAAAATTATAAAGGAAGAATGGAAATCAATAAATGTAGCTTATTAAGCGGAAAAAGATCTACAATTTTTGTTCTTTGCAAATTTCTGTATTTCTAATAATAACGATTCTACAATATTTAAAAGAAAAATCAGTAAATCAGTTTTTTGCTCATATCTAGTAAACTGTGGATTTGTTTCAAAAAAACAAAAGCATATCTTAAATAAGCTCTTCAAACGACAATTCTTTTCTCATTTAACCGAATCTATGTCTTTATGGTTTCCTAGCTCCCAATGCTTAAAATGAAAAAAAACTCACCCTGTGTATATTCGAATGACATAATTACAATCAGTAACTATTTATGATGGTTCGTAAAGATAATAAAATTATCAAATTCACCGCAGTTTTTTTAACCACTCCATTGCTGCAGTTGTCAAATCATTAATCTCCCCATAGCCCACCATTAAACTTAGTTTGAGGACATTCATCTATTATATGATTAATTGTCTTGATACAATAAGGAAAAATTGGTGATTTTATGGATTTCCATTTAAATAACATTGCATTACAGCGACTATGTCCAGTTCTTAGGCGATTCAGTTTGCACCAAATGGCTCTAGGGAAATGAAAACCAGAAACCTTTTCTGTTGGGTCTTTCAAGCTGTTTATTGAAAACCTTAACGGTTGACCATTCTTCATCTTCAAAAACCTCCAGATACCAAATTTTGTCGAAATCAGAATTTGTTCGCCTTCGCACCCCCTTTAGGGATTGCGACCGTTCGTGATAGAAATTTGAACAAAATTTTGCAAAATCGGAAAGGGCATACCCTAAAACCTACTCAAAGCGTGCCACCAGTTTTTCTCGTTCTTATGGTTGTTCAGCAAAAAATTAAAGAAGAAATACAAATTTCATCACTTTGGGGATGGCTCCCAAACGAAACACGTTGAACCCTCAGTTTATTTGGAAAAAGTGCTTGTTTTGGTCCCCTCTACTACCCATTTTTTTAGATACTTATATGTAACACCCTGTATACTTCACGCATATCAAATGGCCTGTTGGTAATTTGGTATCCCCTAGGTAGATGCATAATTTTGGTCGCATCCGTGGTCCTAACTAATATCTCTTGCTGTAGAGCGAAATTGGGCACAAGTGTAGTAGGAACTTCAAATTCTTGACGTAGACGAAAAGTTTAAATTGAATGCACGGGTACGTTACGCTAATAAGCCCCCCAGGTATGATCATGAAATTGATAGAAATGGATAGAGGACACCTTAATAACACGTTTAGATTAAAAAAATTTGCGGAAGAGGGCCTAAATTTTCCACAATCTTAATTAAAAGTTCACCTCATTTTCTGGAAATCTGGTGTTATTTTACGTATATTTTGTAATTCTTAAGTTGGTGAAACTGAAAAATTTTATGTGACAGCTCTTTTTCCCCTAATAAACAAAGGTGACAGTAATTTTTTGTAGGAGGTTATGTTAACTTCGTCTACTAAAATGAAATAGGTTGGGTTTAACGTGTATATTAAGAGAATGTAATAAAAGTAGTACAACAGGTATAATATACAATACAATTTTAGGTTTTGTTCGACTTAAACACCAAATAAGCGACACTTCCATGTGACTGACATTTTAATAACACCACTTTTTGAAGCTTATACAGTCTAAACTTGAATGCATTAGGGAAGAAGGATGTCGTAGAGAAGGTTGCATGTGGCAAAAATTTCTTGGTATCGATCACCGAGAGGGGAAACCCGGACACTTCCTGCATGTTTCATATGAATCGACGCTTAGCATCCACCGCCTAATATGGTCGAGAGGGGAAGGAACATCTCTCGCATTTTCCATGGATCGCAGCTACGTTAGCGATCGCTGCTTAACTTAGAACGCCTTTTCCGTATCGATCGCCGCTTAGCATCCACCGCCTAATACGGTCGAGAGGGGAAGGAACATCACTCGCATTTTCCATGGATCGCTGCTTAGCAATGTAGGATGTAGAGAACTACTTACTGCTATTATGGTATAATTAAAAACATTTGTATATCATTGTTTAAAGTTAATTAAATCGTGGAAAAATAACATAACCTCTTAAGAAACTAACTAAAGTTGGCACTCAGGAATGTTAAGAACACCAGTACCAACTGAAAAACAATCATGAAATTTGGAGTAATGTAACCTCACTTACGACGAAATGAAATGAACTTTGAATGAAGATTGTGGAAAATGTAAGGCTTCTTCCGCAAATTTTTTAACTGATAACATGTAATTAAGGTGTCCTCTATCCATTTCTATCAATTTCATGATCATACCTGGGGGGCTTATTAGCGCAACGTAACCGAATGCACTCTTGCAACCCCTCCATTTATGGGAAAAATTACTGCCCTACAAAAATATACTTTCAGATTACCAATAAACGATGCTTACTGATGTGTTGATGGTATCCCCCCACGGAAAATACATCTGTATAGTTACACGTCTCTGTCAAAATTTATAATAATGGAAGAGTTGTCACAGGAATCGATTAGTGACGAGACGATCGTGACCTTTTCGACCTTATAACCTTCGAAGGTAATAAAACTCTCAATGGCATTTTACCCTTCTACATGTAACACGTAAAGTTTAATTACAGTTGACGAGGCGATAACTTAGATCGGTAATAAGCTTAGATGGGACGAAACGAGACGTATCTTTGTAATGTTTATGATATAACTGGTAGATGATCATGTCGACTAGTTGTAACATTATACGTTGGTGAAGCGAGTAGCAACTTATCATTTCCATCAACACTTTGTTGGACTTATACGCAGCGTGCTGCGATGGACATGAACTTTATGGCAAAACAAATTTACGGACCTCGCTCGATTTTTCCTCTTCTCGTCGCAGTTCGCTATAAAGATGTGGAAAAGGTCTTCGCGCGGTGGCGGGGACGAGGCAATAAACGTCACAGAGATACGACCACACGCAAGAATAGATAAAAGTATATCTTCGGTACGACGACAACAACAACCATCCAAAGTACCCTGCAGCATTGCGAAATTCGCCCTTGCTACGAACAGCAAACTTCCATTTGCTCGAATTATAAATTCTGACAATCCCGGTAGCGTTACCGATTCCTGTCAAATAAATTACCGAAAAGCCCGACCGTGAAATCGTGCGAAAGCTCTTTCGGGCCAGGGCCGTTTGCTGCAGTACAAATCAATTTCGTAAAAAGCTCCCCAATCGTAAACGATCCACGATGTTATCGCTAACAAGTGTGAGTGAAGCACGGCCACCCATGATTGCGGCAAGAAATTAGTAATCGAGTGGGGGAGTGAAAAAGATAACGGACGAAAAGGACGAAACCGGTGGGTTTGTGACAGAGATGAAAGAAATCCTTCTCTTAATCGGGTAAATCTTCGAATGTCTTGTTTAATTTATCGGTCGTGTTCTCGCGACATCCGACTAATTGGGGACATATTACAGGTGAGAATTATTGGTCGGTTAAACATACAATCTTTTCCTTTTTTTAAAAGATTCAGGTAAATTCCCACCGCAAAAACAATAATCATAGTGATGAGCTGAATGGGCACATTTCTGAAACAGTGTGATGCCGGTCCATTAATTGGAATTGAGGGTTCGAGAGGGTACGCCTGAAGCCGTTCCACTAAATGCCCTTATTGTTACCGAGTCTAGTTGTGTTTGATTATATGATTATCGACGGCAGGTGTTCGAATTCCAATCGCATACTATTCGTGATTGATTGATTTTTTATTCTTATTGTTGTATCTATTCTTGCATTTAAAGGTGTTAATATTGCTTGATGTCATTAATCTTCAAAATTTCTAGCGGTGATGATTAAGTTTTTGTCTTCCTTTCTCTCAATTTTATAAATGCCTTTCGGTTTACAGACAGCTGCAAGAAGAGCGGAACGTGCTAGATGGACCACGACAATTTAAATACCGCGATTCGATATCAATCGACATTCTTTGAACGGCATGAAAACAAAGTTAGTAGGTACCAACCAGGGATCCATGGTAGTTGATCCTTATCAGAAGAATTTTACCATCTCCAAAATGTTACTTCGTAAAGTTGACTATTTAATCAAGCATGTTTTTCCCAAACTGTAAGGACGCTAATGGCGAGAATTTCATGATTAATAACAAAAAAAGTTGGAGAGAGTACCTATGCGTTACCACGCATGTGTTACTTGAAGAATGAAATATTCCGTGGTTATACCTATTTCAACATGGATATATTGACTAGATGCTTATAAAATGACGAAAGAAATTTCGCAAAGCATAAACCTGCTGAGAGGGATTCATTTGACACTTTCATTCTCTGGATTTTGTCGTTCGAGGCAAATTTTGTTCCAAGAATGCAACGTCAGGTATTTCAGCAATCAAAATCAATACCATCTTAGTTTAAATCCTACTCCTAAAGGCAAGCACTCAGTGAGAAGTTAAATAAATACTCTTAGATTCCTTCATATTCATAGATTTATTTATTTATTTTATTTATTTATTTATTTATTTATTTATTTATTTATTTATTTATTTATTTATTTATTTATTTATTTATTTATTTATTTATTTAATTTATTTATTTATTTATTTATTTATTTATTTATTTATTTATTTATTTATTTATTTATTTATTTATTTATTTATTTATTTATTTATTTATTTATTTGTTATTTATTATCCCTCTTGTCCTGGGCCCTCAACAGGCTTGCGCCCAGTTACAGAGTGACTCGCATAATGCTTTTTAGAGGTACCTCTGCAGAAGGTCTTAAGTTGTTCTATACTACTCCTTAGGAATTAGGAAAACTGCAAGAAAACCTAATTAGGAGTAACCGGCAGAATGCTCGAAACTGATCTAAGTAAATTCCCATCTCTGTCACAGATTAAAAAGTACCCAGGTTCGTATACACCCGACCTCTGGCTATGTAGTCCAACACTCTACCACTCTACATAGACGTTTTTTTATACCATAAAGCTAACGATTTATTATATCCAACAATATTGATAATAACCACGTACACATTTAACTCTTTCCGATACAGGCTACAAACCTTCAAGATTGTAACGGGAGCCCGAGACGTATTTACATTTTTCGAATGCGGCTTCGGCTAATGAATGCGCCAGCTTGTCGCGACATAAGATGAAAGTAATGCGTTCCCTACGTCTATTTCAAATCCGCTATTATTTAGGTCATGAGAACTAATAATTCCGAGGTTTGACATAAGAGGTTTCTGACAAACTGCTTGGTAAAAAGAAATTAATCCTATTGGCGGAACCGAGTAGTAGTAATTTTGGGGCGTATCTTGGAAATTGAAGATAGTAGGGAGAGCATCCGTGGGAGATAGCCGTACGGCACTCAGCGTCAAGTCACGAAAGCTCTAAGTTGGAAGAGCGACAAGAAGAAATAATTATGCATAATCGTCGCGTTGCACGGTCAAAAAAAGTAAAATCAAATCCACCGACGACAAATATATAGCGGCGTAGTAATATTTTGCATTTGGTGAAGCCGAGGGGTGATTAGCTTCAAATGGTGAATCGATTGTGCGTGTCAAGAAAAGAAGAAACGATATAAATCGATCATCCGTGAACCTTTACGCAAAAAATTAAACGATTAGTGAAGAGATATAAACAAGCAGAAGAACATTTTTTTGCATGCAGGGTGTTTTTGAACTTTCGTGGTGTAATTAAACCACACGATCAAAGTTTGTGGAGTAAATTCCTTGCGAGTAATTAAATCTACGTACTACGCGACTTCGAACTGTACCAGTTGATGAGAAATAAGTAAATCAAGTTCTTGACTTTTTAGTTAAAATAAAAGTTTCAAAACAAAAACTGGCGAACTACGGACAGCAGAAATGGAAAAATTAACGTAAATTTGACTTGTGGACGCACACTTGCTCTCAATTCAATAATTGTCATTAACATATTCGTTTTGCGTTGGCTTACGTAATTTGGACAATCTTTTGCGAGAGAAAACCAATCGACCTCCCATTGAGTACAGAAGAATCCCACGTTTTGATTTCTCCTGATTGGACGACTCTTTGGAAATGCGCTAGAAATGGAGTCCGTAATAGTACTGTGAAATAAGGTAATCACATATTTTTTGTATTTGTATGTTCAATTCATTACTGTGCCTTTAAGGGTAAACATAATTAAACTTTTGTCATTTAAGTAAGAAAAAAGTACCCTTGAATAATCGATACCTTCATATCGTCGAAATGTCTATATTTTAAATTAAATCCACTTAGTGCGGATTAAATTCAGTTAAGTTCAGAAATTTCTAGTCGTTGCGAATTGTGGGGTCAAAATTAACATTAGGTCAGATAAAGATCTGTCCACTTCGTTAGGCGGAACATGACTATAATGGGATCTTATGATTGAGGGATGAGTTAATAAATGTCAAATTGGTAAGTGAAAGCAGCTTTTGGTTTTGTCTTCGAGTTGTGTTCAATCGCCTGAAGTTGGACGAGTCGTTAAATACTAATCAAATGTTCATTTCAATTCATTTCATTAATCTGGTGGGGTTCTTTACGGATAAACACAAAACGATTATGGCGTGCATAGTTTTATTCAAGGTATCTGTTTATTTTGTTCCGTTGTAAAAAGATCATTTCATAGAATTGTTAAATGTAGGGAACATTTTATCAAAGTGTTGTTATCAATTCTGTTTTGTTAAATCATTTATGTGACAGTTCAGATTTAATTTATTGGGAACGTCGTTTATTTTTATAAAGAGGTGGATGTAATTATTTAGAGATAAGCATGCATTCTAATCGGAAAAAATTGTTTGTTTTCGTACAAAATTTAAATTTCAAACAAAAATACATATCTCTATAAATAAGAAAGTTGACATTGCGCAGTTTGCACAATGCACATGTTCAAATTAATCTTCAAGATTTTTCTTTGTTTAGGTGCCAGAGCTATAAACTACCGACTGCAAAAAGAACGAATTAAATATATTGAAAACTGTAGCTGAGGCCTCGGACGGATGTATGGACGGACACGCAGAGATAGTGACCATAATAGCGTTTTGCAACATGAGTTGGAAAATGCGCTAAAAATACCATAAGCAAAAACTTTAATTGTATCAGCCAATGTACCTGTAAATGAACACTAAATTTGAATGTAGAGGAATGGTTCATAATATTACAAAACTCGGTCTTGGGCTTGAACAGTTAATGAATTAAATACATTCTCATAAATAAGAAATTTAACAAAAATATAAGACATTAAAATTTCTTGGGTTCAAAACATCTGATGTCCCAAAATTTCGGAGCTTCAGAGAAAAAGCATACAGTAAAGCGTTGAATAAGTAAACAAATGAAATGTACAACTACGTAAGTTATCTCCAAATAAGATTCCCCAACAATATAGGACTTATATATATAGAGTTATTCAATCTTGAACTTTCCTAGAAGCTCTACGAAAGCGACGGTCATTTCATATACCTGAAGACACCAATTAAACTTGGAAATAGACTAGAGTAGTGGTACTCTAATTCACAATAAATTGACGTTACGGCAAATAAATCTCTTAAACGAAGATCTCGAGTCAGAAATGAAATTAGTGACCAAAAGGAATTGACTTTACGTAATTAAAACTCGATCACAAATACAAAGTAAATTCTATGGTAAATGAATTCCAACAAGTTAATGTCTTTACCTTCTTTTGTAAAAAAGTGACATTTTTACTGCAAGATTTCCTAAATGTGAATGCGGAACACATTCTGATCTTCACGAAATGCCATGTTTGGATGTTTTTCAACACGAAAATAGGCAAAAATTGGCAAAAACTTCAAATGAAATGTTTGATCGAACAACAACTTCCAAAAATGTGGGTAGTTAAGACACATAGTATAGTCAACCCAGGGCCGGACCAGTTCAAATTTAGGGATTTGGTTCAATCTCTCAGAAGTCACAACACACCAATAGGGTATATCAATTGTCCGGGTTGTGACGCTTGGGGTTTTCATATTAGTATGAAATTATAAATTAATTTTTTTGCAATAAAAGGTTCCACTTTTTTTTGTAAATTCGGCACGAAATAGTATATTAAAAGACAAGTGTTACAATGCGACCTATTGTAATACGACTATCTTGTGGCACGAGTGGCGACGCGAAGCGTAGCCACGAGTGTCCGCAAGATAGGAGTATTACAATGAAGCATTGTAACACGCGTTTTTCATACTATTTTTTCTATTTCGGTGCTTTAATTTAATTAAAAAAATCATTATCAGAAACTATAGGGAACATTAGAACTATAACATGTTTTATGTTGGGAACACTTTTTATGCCGTTAAGTTTTAGGTTGGCAGCGTAGTAAGGGTGACATTTTGAAGTTCAAACATGGAAGTACCCAACGAAGTACCTACTTGTACTAACTAGTAACTGCCAACTTAAGAGATGAGTTACCAAAAAAAAACGACTATAATCACTGTCTTTGTACAACTGTTTTCGGCCGAAAACAGTTGTACAAAATCATCATTGTGACACCGAAATAGAAAAAAGTATTTCTATAGTTTGCGTAATATACTACCGATAAATAAATTCAAGTGGTGTGTTTAAAAAAAATTTATTTAGAATCTTGGAATCACGACTGCAGCTTCCGAAAGAACCCTTACAACCCTTATTTTTATTGCGTTAAAATTTTGGCAGTGTACATAAGACTTAAAGGATATCGGATTTCTTAAATATCTAGTTTGACTTAGGAAGCTGTTCTGTCAAAAATTAGGCACCTGGTATTCTACTTCACTTATATTGTAACGAAGCACCCGGAATTTCTCCATTTAGTTTGCCGTTTACAAAGACCACCCTGTATAGTAACGATTGGTTTGGGCTTCGTTACGCAAGGAGACCGCGATATTTTTGTAACCACCGAAGGATGTTGTCCTGGCGAAGATGAGGGACAATTAACTTTCTTTGGTTTCAGCGCCGTTAATTATTTATAAGATGTTTTAGATTCCCATAATAAGTAAAATCAAGGATAGAACGAGTTCAAATCGAGTTGTTTACAACTTTTGCAGTCCCGTCCGTATGCCTGCATGTTGCGATAAGAGTGTTAAAGCGATAGCGCCGTTTGGAAAGAAAAAGTCCAAGGGAGCGAGTTGCAGATTGGATTGATGAATACTTAGGTTTGATTACGCTTAATTAGGTAAGCGCTGTTAATTAATGCCATGTTAATGGGCAGTGGTAAACCTTGTCAAAAACCGTCGAGAGAGGTGTCCACAGAGGCGCTGTCATTTTTCTAGTTGTTTTCAAGTTGTCCCAGATTTTTAAGATAACCACAGGAGCCGCAATTAATTGAAAACCAAATTATTTTCTACCGCGCTCGACCGCCCGGCTTTGGAAATTCCCTGTTGCTGTTCCACTTCTACCAAAATTGGTTTCCTTTAAAAGGAAAATGCTGAATTTGGGAGGAATCTTTTCTGCTTCATACTTTC